AGCCCCCCACTTCACCCACATGGAAAGTCAATCTTATCCATGTCCTGCTGTGATTCCACCTCCTTACAAAAGAGAAAGCTGGGAAGAGTATTGCTTGCTTGGGATAGAATGACTGCTTCCCAAGATCCAGGTATTATTGGTTCTGTCTCATCATTTAATGTTTAAATGGCACTTGCTGGTGAAAGTTCAGACAGAATGTTTGCAGCAAATCCAAGTCTCATTGTTATAAAGAAGTAAAGGCTTGCACTGTGAGCCTTTAACTTGTTTTCTTAACAAAATCAATCAAAATATATTGATTAACACTTCAGCTGTCTCCTTGAAGACATTTTGACCTTTTTGATTCCATTTTCTTTGTCTATTAGCATGTCGTGGAGCAGTAATCTGTGACAGCTTTTAGTCCTTCGTGTGGAGGGAAGTCTGTGTGGATGGTGTGTAATCTCACACATTTAGAAAGGCTGTGGTCTTTAAGGTGTAGTGGTCAAGAGCTTGGGCTCTGGAGTCAGATGCTTTCGTCTTCCTCTTGGCTTTGGTATGTACTGCCTGTGTGATTTGGAGTAAATTAACCTCTAAACCTCACTTTCCCCATCTGCACAATGGGGATAATGTTAGTACCTGCCTAGGGGAGGGTGGTTGTGATAAGATTAAATGATGGATTTAAAGAACTTTGTGCTGTGCCTGGCACCTACTAAATACTAAATAATGGCTAACAATAATTATTTTCCTTTTGGTTCAGTGGTCCAAATTTTCTCTGGGTCTCCCTTATGTTTACTTCTGGAACATAGGGAATTGTACAGAAGCTTCTATAGGACTCTGTAGAGACTTTTAACTTAGACTGCCTTAAAGTTTTTGAAGTTCGGTTATTCCAAGAAGGGCTGCAAAGAAAGCAAACTTTAATCCTAGTTTCTTGCCTGCCTTCCAGGCCATATCTTTATTCTGCTCTTAAATATAGCTGCTGCAACGAATAGACTGATGGAGTATTACCTGTGGTTTCATTTCATGATGTGTAGAACACACAGGAATCACTTTTGACTGCTTACGACTTGTCTCAAATATAATTCAAGTCTTGAAATGATTATCTGGACATGCATATTCTAGGAACTGTGGGAGGTGCGAAACATCACCAGCAGATACTTTCACATTTTTTTCCTCAGTCTTGGGTTCTTATGAAAGTTAGGAACAGGTGGTAAATCTACAGTTTAATCACTTGGTCCATTAAGGCCCTCCTGATTTTCTTTGGGCTCTAGTCAGGTAAGCTAATACACATGTTCATAGCCAATTAAAATGCCCCTAAATGGCATTGACCAGTGGCCATCCTTATTGTTAAGTCACCAGATAAGGCAATTTCTCAAAAAGCTCAGCAAGGCATTCCAGAAATACTTGACTTCATACTTCTTTGCACTATGATAAATAACAATTTTGATTTTATCTCAAAGTAGTTAATCTAAATCTCTCCTTCTGGGATGTAAAGTAGAATAATGTTCTATAGCTCTTTGAACATTAGATTGGAAAGAAACCCTAAATGTTTTGTTAATTAAATCCTAAAGAGGTAGTACAATCTTTTCATGATTAATTGAAGCATGCATATTTTGACTGATGCATATTTATATGATATAACCATATGAAAAAGTTATCATGGTATACAGACTATACACTTTGGGAATGTGATTTAATGCTGTAAATATTTTGCATTTGTTTTTGCATTGTTTATTATGAAAAATACACAGGCTAATAATGGCTGTAAGGAAAAATCTGTGATGTGAATTTCCTTTGAGGTAATCTCAAGCCTCTAATGGCTCAAACCTTTAGCCTAAACATAAGAAATCAGGTTTTCCCTAGTTTGATTTAGAAATTTTTTTTTAAATAGATGACGTTTGGAAAGCTAAAGGGTGGAGGTCTTCTATTTTGCTAATGTGAAGCATGCACACAATTCCTGGGTTTCAGATAAAAGCAAAAGATGTGGTTGTTGAAATGAACCAATCCCTTTGGCTTTAAGCAAGTCAGAAAAGCTCACTTTTCTAGGGGTGCGGTCACACTGTTCAAATTGGGACACCGTGTCATGTCTGGTGGCAGAATTTTGAGCTAGGTCTTTTCTTACAAAATTATTTTTAGTAATCACAGTTCTTTGTTTCTTAAATATAGTATTAATAAAAATGACTTTTCTGAGACTAGAATACCTGAGATATCTAAAACTCTTTTCTTGAACTTTTGGAGCAATCCCTTTTTCAGACTCTTCTATGGAGCATTACCTATTGATAACAGTTTGGTGACAGGAGAGGAGAGATCTAATGGCAGTTTTCCAAAGGGTTTGCCTTTATGAAACAGAATTTTATGAAAAACGGATGAGAATAGTGAATTATTTAACAAGACAGATGCTAACCACCATTCTAACAGTTTTACAACTGCCAGATGCAAAACAACAGTGCGCAATTTCTTTTGTCTCATCTTCCCATATTGTTACTTTGTAGTACGACTGACTTATAAAAATAATCTGCTTTAAAATTCTACTTTTTGTTTACTAGTTAGCTCTATTGTAAGAAAATATCCTTGCCTCCCCTTAAAAAAAGACAAGTCGTCTGATGATGGAGTAAAGCAGGAAAAAGACCCGTGAGTGGCCTTTTTGCCCCAAGCACCCTTCCCCCAGGCCAGGCCAGGCCAGTGCTCAGGCCAACTGCCCGGCCTTCTTACAGCTTTGCTCTCTACCCTCTGGCACCCCAGTTTCAGCCCATGACAGTTAAAGATCTAGAGCTAAAACACTTACTTTTTTTCTCCCCCAGAGTAGACTACTTAAAGGAAGGAATCGAAAGGGGAAGCCTAATACATGTTCTAAAGTGGATCCTTGGGAAATGGAATCTCCTTGTTGAACTCTGGGGCCAAATAATTTCCCCCATAAAAATGTTTTTTTCCTTTCAGATTTCACCAGAATCAAGCTTATTGTCCACGGATCATTTGTGAGAGTTCTGCTGTATCATCTTCTTTTTCAGGAATTTAAGATTTTAAAGGAGCTAATCAATTGGGAAAATAGAAACTATTAGTGCTAGTTAGTTTAATAATAATGAATGATTATTTTAAAAATATACTATTTCTAATCTAATTTAAAAATTTTGGAAAAACTCTGAGTCTTGTTAATTTTTCATGCCATGTTAAATATCTGTATGTAGACAGATGCCATATTAGAAGTCAGACAAGATATAAATAAATCTTTCTTTGAACAGAACAAATTATTAAATGCAGTCATATGACATTTGAATTCATGTTATGACTCCATTTAAAGAAAGATGTTATCAAAAATGTTTGATTAACATCAAAGATAGTTTTTTACGCTGTCTCATTTGATAATTAACAATAAATCACAACATGTAATTTGTGAAATAAAAATGGTCATTAAAATGACAATACTTATTCCATTAAGGTAAATCAAATGCTACACATAGTTCTGAGCGATGACACTCAGGGGGGAAAAAGCCATATCACTGCACTGCAAATTAGTTTGCTTCTAATTTTGCAGGCTGATGACCGCACTGCCTCAAACCAAATCTTTTCTCTGGAAATGGAATGATTACATGACAGACTCTATGAACCATGAATATGTCAACAACTCATGGACCAGGCCTTGCTTAGCAATTAGTCTTTGGGGGATTTTATTCAGAAATCAGACAACACTATACCAGAGCTTGTTGGGGATTTTATGATTACCATTCATGTCCAGAGTATGCGTCTGGGTTAGTACCGAAAAAATCCATAAAGGAGGAAGAGATGTGGCTTACAGTGGCAATCAATCATGCACATACACATAGTCAATTGGGAGGATCAAGAAAACTTAAGATAAAGCCAAAGCCCCTAGAAGGCAGCAAGGAAGTATTTCTTAGACTTTTACTTATAGTCTCCTATTGTTCCCCATAAAGAGGCCAATATTTCCTAGACTTCAGTCATTTGAGTATCACCATCATTTTTTTGTTACAGCATCCTGCCACCTATACTATAATTTACTCAATATGTTTTATTAACTGACTCCCTTTAAAAGCCTTTCTTTGTTTTAAGCGGTACTATTTGTGATATCATGGGCTTGTGCTGGTCTAATTTTTCTTCTCTTACAAAGCAAAAGAAATATAGTCATTTAAATAATGAAAATATTTGCATACCACCTAACATTTTTCTGAGCTCTCCCATGACATGGGTGGCAGGTGCTGCAGGAGCTTCAAGGACTACCAGTCTGACTGAGAGTGATCAGGGCAGCTGTGTGACCTCAGGTCCCATTACCATTCCTGCATCCAGGGTCCACGAACCGTATCCTGTGGAGGAGAATTTAAATGAGGCCTGCACCTCCCTAAGGATACCCAGCATCCTTACCCAGGAAGGCTGCATCATAGGAGACTGCTGAGTGAGCCAGCCTAGTGCCTTTCCGTCGGTAGAACACGGCCACTCACATCTTTCCTTTTTTTGACTAACCGTATCATTCGGGAATCATGATACTGCAAGAGTAAACAACACCCCGTATCCGGTAACAATACCGGAACACGTCCAGATTGGGCCTGGCTCCTGACTGTCCAGGTTCATGTTAGGGCATCGCATTTGTAGATTAGCACTGGGTGGCCCAACCAATGTGGATCTTGTAGGCTGTCAGCATCCTTTGAAGAAATGGGTCACTTTGCAAGCTTCATTAATACTGAACCTGGTTTAACCAGGCAGAATAAACATTTGTACCAGGCTAAGAAGCCCTAGGAACCCTTATGGCTCTGCAGTCATGCTCTGGTTTTCAAGTATCTGATGTCTTTTGGAAACTTAGGAGCCAACCAAAAAAAAAAAAAAAAAAAAAAAGAAAAGAAAAGAAAAGAAAAAAAAAGAAAAAAGCCCTGAGCTTTCCCACCAAGAGCTATTTTACTAGGTCAGAAAGTGGTGAGGTACGGAAATTACGATCAGACCTCAGGTAGGTTCAGGGTGTGTCTAAGTTTGAAGGGATGTTTGCTTCTGATATGAACATTTTTCTTATACTTTTATTATAGAAGATGATGTGTCAAATGTACAAATAATGTGTGCCTGGTGCCAGAAAGTGGGAATCAAGCGCTATTCCCTGAGTATGGGAAGTGAGGTGAAAAGCTTCTGCAGCGAGAAGTGCTTTGCGGCCTGCCGACGAGCCTACTTCAAGAGAAATAAGGTAAGAGCACCGTAGACAGAGGCGGCCCACGCGGGCCTCTCCAGACCCCGGGCGCATGCGCCTCTTAGCTTCTAGCTGAACTCACTGCGCACCCTGCACCCGTATTCTTTCTGTTTTGTCTGTTCTCTTTCTCTGTCATTCTTAACCTTCTGGAATGAGGAATCCCCTTCTAATGTGTAACTTGCTCTTCAATTTCTCTTGTCTTGGTGTCTGAATTCTGAGAGGGTGAATGGATCTGATGAGGACGCGGTGGTCACAGCTGGTCTCCTAAGTGACAGCTTCTCTCCAGCAGTAGAGTACCTAGATGAGAGCCCACGAGAGATCAGCGGTAGAGATTTCTTATCCAGGCTGAGGAACTCGCCACAGCAGCATGGCCAGAGGGCTTTAGTTCACTCAGCATTATTCTTGTTCCCACTGGGAATATTGCTCTGGCTCTTTCCAAAATCTGATCCACAAATTCTAATTAATCAAGAAAAATGTCAAGTCTTGACACCTTATGTTAAAGTTGACTGATACTGAGAAAAGGTGAAATAAAGAATACATGAACCAACATTGCTCACACAGCCACGGCGTTGTGAGAAGCATGGTGGGTGAACACAGGAACAGCCACAGTTAGGGTTTCTTTTTGTTTGTTTGTTTGCTTGCTTTTTTGGTTTTGTTTTGAGACATCTCAGATCTGAAAATGTCCTTTTAGAATAGCATTAGCCACCATTGATGGGAAATGGAATGCATGGTGTTTTTACAGTCAACACACACATACACACAGAGCTAAATTTTTAATCTTTAAAGAACTGCTATTGCATTTTGCCACCAGTTATGGAAGTACATTGCTAGTTCTTGATTATTTTCCATTGATCTGTGAATCTGCCTTAGTTCATAAAATCATCCACATTTTGCTAAGCATTTCCATTTCCATAATACAAAGTCGAGATTTGTCCTTTCTTGAAGCAAACAATTACCAATTTTTTTAAAGTCTGATATTTGCAATCCTGAAATGCTAATTTTGGGCTTACTGCATTGCAAGAAGCACTGTTGCAGCAAATTGTCTCTTGCAAATTTGGGTCACATCATTCTGCCAAAAAACATAATGCCGAAAGAATTAGGCTGCAGAGTTCAGCGGGGTGGAATTTTAGTAGCAGTCTCTAAGAATTAGGCTCATAATCTTCACTGGGGCAGGGAGGCAAGTAAGGAAATTGTTTGGAATTCTTTTGCGACAGTCAACAGTCAAGTTCACTTTCCCTTGGGAGGGGCCAGTGAGGCTTCAGAGGAGTGTGGTTAGAGCAACGCATGGGAGACACGTTTTGTTTTAATATAAGAGGATTAAAATGATCTCTGAGACCCTGGGGCTCCCGTTTTGAATGCTGAGCACTGGGGTAACAATCACAAGAGTGGACCCAGTGCTTTCATCTTCAAAGCCTTACTTACCACAACAAAATACTTTGCATTCCGTCCCAGAAAATGGCTGTAGAAGAGGGGTGGGGGTTGTCTTTCTATGATTCTGAAGAGTTATGGTTCTGAGTCTTGATGGACTGCCTGTAGTGAATAAAATCCAGCAAGATGAATTTGTCATAATCCCAGGGACACAAATTGATCCTACTTTAGTAAGCCTCTGAAGAAAAGCACCTGATTCCATTTGGAAAAACAGTCCAGAATAGTATTACATACCATATAAATAATGTACACATATTTATAATGATGAGGTTTGAGGTCAAACTGAATTTAAACTTCCATAGCATACAGTTTTGAAAAATGAATAACTAGGAGCTAAGATAAGAATTAGCATTTGGGGTACTTATAGTAGGTAACCTTTCACTTCCTGCAAGGAGTTATTGGGGTAGTTCTTTGAAGATCCTGCAAAACCTAGGAGTCTAGTGGTTTGAAGTTTAGCCAGTGACTTTGCAAGCTGATCCCAGCAGCCCATTAGTGTACATACAATACCTGTCTTCTCTACAATCTTCATGCTTATTTATGTATTCCAAAGCCCTGCCACACCAGACGTTCTCGTTTTTCAAATAGAGAAATAAACTAGTCACATCATTTGCTGGATTCTTTTTTTTTTTTTATTTTAAGAGCGTTATCTCTGCAACAATATCCTATTATATTACCATAAACACGTACAGCTGCTGCATTTCTGTTAACTGATAGGATTTTGTGGTCATTTCATTTAGAGCTTGGGTTTCCTAATGGATTGTATTAGATACCAGTCTCCATCCTGCCATTTCTAAGAACTGCTGTAATAAGCCCCAGGGTGTTCCCCACTGAAGACAATAGCAAATAGCTACTTCTCTTCTTGTATCACTTAACAAAAAGTCTTTAGTCCTCATTATTAAAATTGTAGAGGTTCTTAATCTTAGAAAAAAGGCAGAATTCTTCCCATTCCTACCAAAACATTTCCTGGTTAAATTCTTCACTTAAAAATACTGAGGAGTGGATGGAAAACAGAGTGAATACTGTGTGCAGAACAGAATTTTGCCCTAGGTATAATGTAGACTTAAAAAAATGTAAAATTAACTATGCTGTAAATTATGCTTTATAATGACAGCCCGCTTCTTGGTGGATAGCATGCTGGGATCTAAAAATGGTCTCTTAAGTTGAACCCAAATTGCAGGCATAACTTTGGAAAGAAAAATCCTAGTAGAAAAGGTAGCTAATTAGGAGCAGTATTCAGCTGACCTCTGTTTTGTGTCTGAGCAACACCTGCATTTGTGAATGTAAATTGGACAGCTGTGCCTGTGGTTCCCATGCTAAACTCTTCACAAATGCTTGGGTATAGAGGCAAGAACTGATTTTCTGCTACAAACAAGGACAAAAATAGCCCAACTCTCAAAATGCAGGCCCACTGAAAACTGGCTCTTTAAATTTCACTTGCTTCTGAAACCTGCTTTCTCTTTGGGTCTCTGTGTTTGTTTGATGGAGTAGGTTAAGAATGTCACATCTTTCTCTCCCAAATCCTGGTGTTATGAAGTAAGGTGGGATGGACTGAAGCCAAGGGAACCCTTTATGGCCTGTAGGTTATATTTTTAAACCAATTTAAAATTTAATTTGAAGAGCAGTTTGGATTGCAAAAATACGTAGGCTTTCTTCAAAATGCTTCTGCTAGGACTGGGAGTCACAGCTGTATTCATTTAAGGAACCTAACTACTAGCTTACACGTTTCAGGATGTTGGCTCTAAGAAGTGTAGAGTGTCAATTCATAACCATATTTCGCAGAATCCTTATCCCCAGCAGGCTCGATTGCTGACACGAAAGTGTTTGAAACAATGGGTAAGAAAAATACTTTTGTAGTCTGTGGGCATCGGCTGAACAATGGGATGTCAATCTCATTATTTGATGCACTGGAGGCTTTTCAGAGAACTAAAGCACATTCTTTTCCCAGCCCCTTTTTGAGGCCACAAGTAGAGAAGAACTTAAGAACATTTCTAGCCTAGCGATGTGCCTAGGAGTCGGAAGGTTGCAGAGACTCCTTTGCAGTTTCTCAAGAGATGCTGAAGTGTTCAGTCCAAGTAATACCTGTTTTACTCTGCACAATAACAGACACTTTTTAAAAAATATTCTTTCCTAAGGGAGTGATGCTTTATAACTGTTATCCCTCCTAAAACAAGAGTAACGACAAGACCGCAAATAGTAGTCATTTCTAAATATCCTGTGTTTGATCTTTTTCCTTCTGCAAGGGAAATATCCTATTGTCTAAACTGATGGCCACAAATCAAGAAAGAAATAAAAATTTATGACAAATGGCCAAAACAGACAACGTAAAGGATGATTGTTTTCTTTCCTTGCTTGGATCCCAAATTTATAGCGTTCTTTGTGGATTAGTGGCATTGATACTTTAGTAACAGACACACATTCCTAAGAGCACCAAAGTTTTGCTTCCTTGTTCTTGTTTTTCCATATCTTGAGACAAGAATAGATTGAAATACTTCTTCAATATCACAGTGTTGCTGTTCCTCCACAGACCATAGTGGGAAGAAACCTGTGTGGATGACAGATAAGGATGAATTAAACATAAAAATGTTATATAGACAGAAACAACATTTGCAGGTGGTATCATTAAGAAATCCTAACAATCATGATAATAATAACAAATATTCAATGAGGGGAATGTTGCATAATAAGCATTTCCTTTACTTTCAAACTATATCCCTGGATACATAGCATGTATCATCGTGTTATTTGGAGTTACGTTTTATTTAGACTATTCGTCTTTTTATTAAACTTGAATATATACTGGGAAAGATTCTCAGTTTCAGACTTCGCTATAGAACCTAGTAGTGCAGCAGAAATGTGTTACAGTGGCCTTGATAACCTGTCTACTTTGTTCCTTTAAACACCTGCAAGATTTAATTTGTGAAATGGCTATCATTCATGAAGGTCTGGGGAAGGACATTAAGAAATTGCTTATAGTTAATGTCCGCCGATTGCCTGAAGCTCAGGCCACAGACTTCATTTTGCCAGCTGTTTGCAAATATTCCTGACTGACAAGAACACTTAGGGAACACCGGAGTTCTTCCTGTGGATTCACTGTGTTTTTATGGGGAGCCAATGGACCTTTTGGGTCTGTCTCCCTGCACCCTGGCCTGCAGGATTGCTTTGGTTCTGCAGCAGCTTGGAACTGCGCTGCCAGCCTGCCCACTGCCCACCCATAGAGTGGCCTCCACCTCCCAGGGCTTTGATCTGCAGGCCAGTGGCTGAGTTAGTTCCCTTTCGGTCACCACAAACAGGGGTGTCCTCAGGAAGCTCTGGGGAAAGGACAACAAAACCACCTGTTTTCTTGCTCTCTGGTATTTTGAAATATGGGATGGAATATTGATGAGCTGCTGCAGCGGAGAACCTATGAAAAAAGCACTAGCAGAGGGGAGGGAATGTGTTCGTCCTTTGAAACACATTCAGCGTGAGGGGAGAGCAGGAGAAGTCCGGCCAGTGAAGTATCATGTAGGTCAGGCTGAAGTGATGCCGAGGCTCTTGAAGAAAGGCAGAAGGAGTTTTGGGGCGGCGCTTCT